CGGGGGTCGAGGAAAGGCGAAGGACGGTTGCCTCGGCCGACTGCCCGAGCAGCCCCCCCCCGCGAGGTCCGCCCCTGAAGCCTCGACACGGGTCTCGGCGCCCTCGTGAGAACCCTTCCTCGGTACCTCCGGGCGGCGGCAGCGAAGACAAAACCAACCGCCACCACAGCCCCGTCCAGCAGCAGCAGCTCCTCCTCCGTCCTCCTCCTCCTCCACAGGCGCTGCCGTGTCACCGGCCAGAGACTTCCGCCTCCAAGGGGGCCGCCTTTTGTCCGGTTCGTGCGCTGGATTTAGGCCGGTTCCGGCAGCCAAAACGGCGCCGGCAGAGCCTCGGGAGCCGCGCCCCACCTGACGGGGGGCTCAAAGGAGACTCGTCGGCGGCCCAGCGCCCTGTGAAAGGGAGCTTCTCTAGGCCACGCAAACCTGGGTTGGTTGGTGGGCGGGCGGCGAGTTTTTCCAAAAGCCCCAAGGGCTGTGGACGGAGGGAAGACAGTCATAAAGGCGGGTCTATGAAATCAAGGAGGGATCCTCGTGGTTTTCATGCGGTTTTTCTGCCGGACGCTTGCAAAAAAAAAGCAGGGGGGAAAAGGAAACCAGGCGGGAAATCCTCTTTGTGAATTCGCAGCAGCGTGGTCTCTCCTTGAAATGCAGTACACAATACTGTACTGTACTGTAAAGATGATCTTCCCTGATCTCTCTAACGCAGGTCTGGTTTCTTGTGGGAGGGGCAGGATCAGTTCGCTCGCTTTTTAAATAGTTTTAAAACGTTTCGCAAGCCCAGACATCGCGCCTTCCGACGTACTTCTCGTGGGGAACCTCTACCTGGGAGACGGCTCCCAGCGCCTTCTCACGGACTCCCCACTTTGGGGCAGAAGTTGTGGCGTGTTTTCCAATATTCACGACGCGCACTCCAGCCGCCTTGCCGTTCCCGCCTTCCAGGGCTAGAGCACAAACTGTCGGAAAGGGTTGTGGCGAGGAGGAAACGATCGCCCATAGACGGCTGGTGGGGGGGGGCAGGGAAGACTATAAAGAGTGAGGCCCAGGACCGCACAGCAACGTGTGCTCTGCAACGTCGCTGCGCCTTCAAAAAAACGACTAATATGCTATAATATAATCAGGTTTCCTAATGGCAGAATCCAAAGAAACAAAACGATACCAAAAAAAGGGAGGGTCAGAAACACGTTGCACCTTTAAAGACTGACCATTATATTTTAATATAAGCTGTCGTGGACTTCGTCGGGCATGAAAACCATCATTAAAGTTTCCTAAACTATTTTTAAATATAGTGCAGCAGTACATAGCTCATCGGCTGTTCTCCGCCATGCACGATCTCTCGGTGCCGTTGGGACATCAAAAAAATTCACCCACCGCCTTCCAAAACACCCAAACTTCTATCCCAAAACAACGCAAGCTTTCGTCCAAATGCACACGAGGAATTTTGGCCGCGCTCGGCTTCCGTTCTCCCTAAATAGTAACTAAGGGAGACAGAGCCTGCTGCTCTAGCCTTTCGCTCTCTGTGGTGATGCTCCCCCAATGTTTCCTTTCGTGTCCCATTGGTCAATTTTTGATTTTTGCTTCCGGTCGGAAGCTCCCGCCCCAGCTTGACCAGCAATGGCGGATCATCCGCCTCTGAGCCAGCCTGGGGAGAAGGTGCGCCTTTGGCAGCGGCTCCGCGCTGGCCGCCTAGGTCAGTCCGGGGCTGGAAGGGAGGCCTGTCGGGCAGAGCCTTTGAAGGCTCCAAGGAGGAGAGGGGTTGCGGGGCGCCGTGGGCTTCCCAGGGGAGAGCGGGCGGGTCGTGCCTTGGGTTCCTTCCTCTCCTCGCAGAACTGGGGCCTTCGGGCTCTTCTTTAACCCCCCAATTTTAACTCTTTCTTTGCCTCCCCAGCGTCGTGGTGGAAAAGCCTCCTGCGCGACTACGCCGAAGCCTGCAAAGAGGCGGCTCAGAGCGTCCGGCAGCGGCCGAGGAGGGCCGCCCTCTACGCCTCGCTGCTGGCGGGCGCCGTGGCCTGCAGCCTCCACAGCCCCTGCGAGGCCTCCTTCGAGGCCAGCCTCCTGGAAGCCTCGGGCGCCCTCCTCCTCCTCTCGCCCTGGACGCGCAGCGGCGCCGCCGAAGGGCACGTCCAGCGGCTGACGAGGCTGAGGAACCGGGGCCAGGTGCGCTTCCGGAACCTGCTCTTCTTCTCCCTCGTCTACGAGGCGCCTTTCGACGCGGGAGCGGATCTCTACCAGGTGCACTGCCAGTACCTGCAGCCCCGCTGGACCGACTTTCCCGGCCGCGTCCTCGATGTGGGCTTCTGGGGCCGCTGGTGGGTCTTGCGCTCCAAAATGCAGGACGCCGATATTAATGACGAGGAGTTCCAGCGGCTGCCCGAGCATCTCAGGACGGTTTCTTTCCACCACTTGCACTCCGAAGCCAACGAGAAACTTTTTGAGGAGAAATACAAGCCTGTGGTTCTGACCGAGGAACAAATCGAGCAGGCAGAGCGGGATAACCCGGAACCATGAATGTTGTGCCATGATCATAGTCTCTCCATCTTTCTGGAAGAAGGAGTCTTTCTGAAAGTGTGAATTTAGAGTGCTCACTGTGCTCTTACAGGAAAGAATGAGTAAATAAATGTTATTTAAAACTGGCTGTCGACTTTATCTTGCTAATCAAACTTGCCCATCATTGATCCAGTTTGGATGCAGTTTTTAAAACCCATCCTTAGGAAAGATGGATCAGTCCACCACTGCACAAAATTAAAATATATGTCTGTATTACTGCTTCTGTAACTACTACATCAGTGAAAATGGATTAGAAGTCAATTTCTCCTCCTTTATTATCTTTACTATAAATAGCTGTTAATTATGTGACTTCTAAGCCATGTTTGCTCTCTTTTGGAAATTACACTTCTCCCTTCAACAGCACTGGGATTAAGGGGCGCTGGACCCTTGTGTATTTCAAAATCTGTATAACTCATGCCCCCAACAATGTAACTATGAAGCATAAACAGTTGATTCCTCTTTTGGAAATTACACTTTTCCCTTCAACAACACTGGGATTAAGGGGCGCTGGACCCTCGTGTATTTCAAAAACTGTGTATAACTCATGCCCCCAACTATGTAGCTATGAAGCATAAACAGTTGATTAACACACAGATACAGACCTCTGACGTGCATCAGCCTCCTGGCACTCTCCCTGGACACCACATGGACTCTGCCAGGACAGGAGAGGGGACCTCCTCTGACCTGCATCAGCCTCCTGGCACTCTCCCTGAATGCCACATGGACTCTGCCAGGACAGGAGAGGGAACCAGCCGGGTCAGTGCCATTGGATTGGAAGCTACTGTGCTGTCAACAATAGGGGCCTCAGTGAGTCCAGACCCACCTTTCTCAGGCCACTTTCTCAAGACAAATAGCAACACAATATTTATTGAATATTTGTTGAAATAATCATTTATTTATTGAAAAAAAATCTATAATGAAAACTATGCTACTCAAATGTATGCAGTTTAAGGGAGGAATAATCTAATTAACAGTGGGCCCAAAATGGTGGAAGAATCTTCCATTTTCTTTTAAAAAATTAAATCCTGATTTGAAGAATTATGTTGCATGAGCCTGTTTTCAATGAATGACATGACCCTTTCTGATGTTATCTTGCATAAAAACAAAAAAGGTTGTGTGATCAAAATCTTGCAAACTTTGTAAATTCATCAAGGATACATAATGTCTTGAAGCCTTTGGAATTTTTATTTAGCTAAATATATTTGAATTACTGATTATTCTGGATGTTATCATGAGTAAGTTTCACGGTCCCAGAGAGCCCTTAATGGTAAACTACTTTTGAGTACTCAATAGTTATGGGAAGGGCTGTCTTTGGTTGGCATTGACTTCTCAGCATGTAATTATTGTTTGAGTACAGTACTCAATAGTTATGGAAAGGGCTGTCTTTGGCTGGCATTGACTTCTCAGCATGTAATTATTGTTACGGAGCCCCATTAAAGTTGCATGCTTTATTCCTCTTATTGTGCACTCTAAATAGCTCAGTGTTTTAGGTATCTGGTGGAGCCAGAGATTTGGAGTTTGATTCCAGTACTCAATAGTTATGGAAAGGGCTGTCTTTGGCTGGCATTGACTTCTCAGCATGTAATTATTGTTACGGAGCCCCATTAAAGTTGCATGCTTTATTCCTCTTATTGTGCACTCTAAATAGCTCAGTGTTTTAGGTATCTGGTGGAGCCAGAGATTTGGAGTTTGATTCCCGATAGCTCAGTGTTTTAGGTACCTGGTGGAGCCAGAGATTTGGAGTTTGATACCCCACTGTGCCTCCCTGACAGTGGCTGGACTTTATGACTTCATAGGATTCCTTCCAGCTCTGCAGTTCTAAGATGATGATCTTATCAATCTATCATTTTACCTTTTTATCATCTCTTTTAACCTGCAGGTTTATGTCTTCCCTTCCCCTTCCGATTCAATTCAAATGATTTAAGTTCTTCATGCTGTAGCTGAACACATTCTTCCCACTCCTATCACTTGCCAGCAGTCCATCTTCCAGAAAATACTGTATAGCCCATGGTCCCAAAATCCAAATCCGTCACATCAGCACCAATATCATAGCCAATTATTCACTCAGAATTTCCTTTCTTTTTCTGCTCTTCCAAGTACCGATAGGATGGATGGCAAGAGTATCTGGGCCCCGAAGTTCTCTAGTCCACTGGTCCCCAAACTTGGGCCTCCAGATATTCTTGGACTACAGCTTCCAGAAGCCTTCACCACCACTTCTGCTGGTCAGGATTTCTGAGAGTTGAAGTCCAATAACATCTGGAGGCCCAAGGTTGGGGACCACTGCTCTAATCTTCTTCCCAGAGCTTCAAAGTCTGATTTGATACATATCTTTTCTTCTGTGACTGTGTCATTTGTTCCCCCATGGATGAAAAGAAGGCCTTCTTCTCATTTGGTTTTATGAATAATGGCAATCCTATCACATCCCTTATCTGTCCTTCTGTGACAAGCATACCTGGTGAGTCCAATGTTTTTCCCAGTCCTATGCAGTAGGGAGTCTCCTACTACACCTTGAGCCCTATAGGAAAAACGTTAAGCGATCGCATTAGCGATCCGAAAAAACGGATCGCTATGCGATTTCGTCGTTAAGCGGTGCGCTCGTTAAACGAGGCACCACTGTATCTGGGCCCCGAAGTCCTCTAGTTCACTGGTCCCCAAACTTGGGCCTCCAGATATTCTTGGACTACAGCTTCCAGAAGCCTTCACCACCACTTCTGCTGGTCAGGATTTCTGAGAGTTGAAGTCCAATAACATCTGGAGGCCCAAGGTTGGGGACCACTGCTCTAATCTTCTTCCCAGAGCTTCAAAGTCTGATTTGATACATATCTTTTCTTCTGTGACTGTGTCATTTGTTCCCCCATGGATGAGAAGAAGGCCTTCTTCTCATTTGGTTTTATGAATAATGGCAATCCTATCACATCCCTTATCTGTCCTTCTGTGACAAGCATACCTGGTGAGTCCAATGTTTTTCCCAGTCCTATGCAGTAGGGAGTCTCCTACTACACCTACTCTTCTTTTTGTAGGATGTTGATTGAGTGACTACTTAGCTGAGTTTCATCGTCGCTCCTACAGGGTCTCCTGATGTCTTCCTTTGTGTGCTGTCTGCCAGACTCCTCTTCAAGAATCTGGAAGTGATTGAGCTCCACTGGTGAAGAGCTTCTTTTCCTTCCTTTATCTCTAACTGTGAATCTTTTCCGTGGTTCTCCCTCTACTATGTTTGTTCTACCTCAGCATTCTCTGGCATGCTGTTCTTTCCACCTCTAGTGCCTCTCTTGACTGCTGCTACTTTGTCTAGGTACTCTTCATCTTCTCTTACAGCCTTAAGTGTGGCCAGTCTCTGCTCCAGTTCTCTCACTTTTTCTTTCAACAACAAAACCAGTTCGCACTTGCTACGTGTTTCACCATGTTGTTCTTAGGCATGAAGAAAAACGTACACATTTTGCAGATCACCAGTTCCCCAGTTTCTTATTGGTGAAACAGGAAGGCCAGTTCATTCCACAGGTCTATTCCTGTCCGAGTGGGACAAAGTCTTGCATTCTAAATGCCTTAGGTTTGTAGATTCCTTCAACAATGAAGTTCCATATACCGATAGGGAGGGTAACTGGAAGAATTTTTTTCCTGGTTTCCCCGTTGGGTTTGCATTTCCCCCTAGACCTTTCCTCCAATCTCCTCTGACATTGTGCTCCTCCAGATTCCTTCTTCCACCAGTGTTGGGGTTTCCTATAATTTTCTCCCTTGCTGCTCATCATTCTCACTCTCCCCAGTAAGAGGGGTGGTAAGAAGGTTTGGGGTGCTCATGTTGCTCCCCTTCACCCTTAGGGACTCATACCTGCAATAACAACTCTTCCCAGGGATCTTCTTTACATATATATACCTATATAGTTCCACTCCTCATTGGAATTTGGCCTCTTCCTCAGGGGAATCTTTGGCCTAATAGGTCCCAGGCCATTATTTTTTGACCATGCTAGGTATAGTCCAGAGTTTTCAGCATCTGCGAGGGGGGCTTGTAACCATTCCCCTGCAGATACGGGAGTCCTACTGTGCTTTCTGAATCAGAAACTTTACTTCTATAGTGTGTTATGCATACCCATACAAATTGCTTCCTTACCAAAATGCTGATATCAACTCACAGCCAGCTGAACTCACATGCCAACTCACACAAATAGGAGAATACAATATAAGGAGCTGAAATTCCCAAAGCCTCCCAATATAATAATAATATAGGCATATTCAGAGTTTACACCTCTGGAGTAAAACATTAATGATGTTGTACTCCCTGTCACCTCAAAAGATGATGCACGTGATTGTCGAAGTCATAGAATCATAAAATAATTGAATTGGAAGGAGTGTATAAGGCCATGGGGTCCAACCCCCTGCTCAATGATGTAATCCCAATCAACGCAGATCTGACACATAATTGTCCAATTTTCTCTTGAATGCCTTCAATATGGGAGCACTCACCACCTGTCAAGATAATAGGTTCCACTGTTGTACTGCTCTAACAGATAAGAGGTTTTTCTTTATATTCAGCCTAAATCCGGCTTCCTATAGTTTGAGCCTATGATTACGTATCCTGCACTCTGGGATGATCAAGAACAGATCATGCCTCTCCTCTGCATGACTAATTTTCAAGTATTTGAACAATTCTATCACATCTCCCCTCTCTCCCCTTTTCTCAAGGCTAAACATGTTCAGCTTCTTCAGTATTTCCTCATAGGGCTTCATTTCCAGTCCCCTGATCGTCCTCAGGGGAGTAGAAACCATCATCTCGGACATGACTGCAACAGAACTCTTCAAAATGTTGAAAGAGAGAAAATGCCTTGCATTGTGTGAGAAGAGTGAGCAGAGTGAAAGTCTGAATTAGCCCCAGAATAGACCTGCAAGCGGAAAACGGGGTGGTAGAGAAAAGAAACAGAAGAGAATGGGGAATTATTGGGGATTCTAGAAGAGGGAAAAAAGAATCATTACAGCTGAGCGGATAGGAAGACTGGATGGGTCCATGGGTGGACCTCCAATGTTTAACCCTCCTGCTTTGCAGATTCTTTACCAGCAGAATTCACTATGCCACAATGATAGTTACGTTACATTT